TGAAAGGAGTTTAAAATTGTAAATCCAGCAGGTGAGACATCAACAGCAGGCCCAACTAGTAACGGGAAGATGAAGATGAAGGCTGGAGACAGTGCTGGACGCTAGGTCCTGGAATTTGGGGACAACAAGAATCTGGAAGAATCTCTCTAGAGAGTTGAAGGTTGCCAAGTATTGAGTTGTAGTCACAGATCGTCTGCAGACAGCCACACAGGGAGGAGCTAGGAAAGCATGAAAGATGCAGAATCGGGTGGTGTGAAGGCTGTTCCCGGTTGTCTGCTTGACCAGATCTGGAATGAACTAAAATCCAAGTGGTTAGGTACACCTGTGAGAGTTTTTTTTCTTTTTCTTTTTTTTCTTTTCTTTTTTTTCTTTTTTCTTTTTTTTTTTTTTCCAAGACAGTGTTTCTCTGTGTAGTCCTGGCTGTCCTGGAACTCACTCTGTAGACCAGGCTGGCCTCAAACTCAGAAATCTGCCTGCCTCTGCCTCCCAAGTGCTGGGATCAAAGGCGCGTGCCACCACTACCCGGCCTGGATTTTTTTTTTCTTTCTTAATTAAATCATTTGAAGTGGGAAGACCAACTTTCAATCTGGATCTTTTGAGGAGGGAAGATCCACCTTTAATCTGGTGGCAGCCCATATAAAGAACATTCCACTTTTCCATTAAACTTCTCTAGAAAACTCCCTCAGTGGCAAACCCAGAAGTGTGCCTTCCAGGTGGGGGCTCTCACCTCCTTCTGCTAACCTAGTCCTAGTTAGTCCTGGAGGCTTTTTGCCTCTGTATAATCTAGTCTAGGCCTAGAATTGGCCTAGCCTCTGAGACTTACTGCTGAATAAGTTCACCTCTTCCTAACTCTTTCGAGTTTTGTCTGGTTGATTCAACTCAGCTGTTCTGGCTCAAACTCTGGCAAAGTTGACTGATTCAATCTAGTTTTCTCTCTGCCTCTTTTCTAATCTGGCTCCTTCTCATTCTCTCACTCATTCTATCTTTACCTGTGTCTAGCTTGTTCTTTCTTCAGTCTGTCTCTGTAAAACTCTCCTGGTGAAATGCCTCCTCCTCCCTCTCTGCTACTCTCCTCTCCCTCTCAACTCTCCTGCACTGCTCTCCACGGACTCCGCTGTGCCCGGTACTGCACTCTCAGTGTGCTGTCTGTCTCTCCCTTAAGCAGCTTCCCTGTCCTCTCTTCTCAGGAGAGTTGGGCAGATCCTCTTCTGTCAAATCTTTCTGATTCGTCACTTTGTCTGCCACTCAATTAGACATCACTTTCAAACATAGGTGCTTCCTTCTACAAACTAACCTTACCTTCACTGTTTGGGACTAAAGGTGATTATTTAGGGTGTGTCTATATTCTAGCCAGAACAGGATTTCTCTCTGTAGCTCTAGCTGTCCTGGAACTCTGTAGAGCAGGCTGGGCTCGAACTCACAGAGACTCTCCTGTTTCTGCCTCCTGAGTGCTGGGATGAAAGGCATGTGCCACCACTGCCTGGCTTCTGTTAACCTTCTAATAACCTTTTATTCACTGGGCTTAAATCGTATATTTTTCTTTCTTTCCTACTTTGGGGGATTCAGTTTTCCTATTGAAGCTCAGGAGGTTAGTTAAGAGAAGAGTTAGTTAAGAGAAGGTATTCTTCAGTCAGAATTTAGAGGCCCTTCTTACCCATGGGCCTGACAGCCTTTAGGTAGGGCCACCAAGAGCAAGTGACAAGGGCACAGAGTAGCTGAGCATCTAATCCTAACGCTCAGCTGGGTGAAGTGACCACAGGACCCCAGGCTGCCTCCAGGTACTCAGCTCACATGGTACTCCACCAGGAAAGGGACCTTTGTCCTGCTATCCTGCTGTCTACTGCATCTGGAGCCTTCAGGGTCCAGGCCTGACTGAGTAGGAGGAGAGGAGAAACACCCTGGGGAGAGGCTAGGGTGTTCCTGCTGTTTACTTCCTACCTGATGTGACTTATCATCTGGGCAGCAGGGAGTGGCCTCACAGGAAAGAGAGTGTCATGTGGGACACTTATTAGAAGGAATAGAGTCTGGGCTAAGAATAGAAGTTTTCTATATTTCCATATGCTGGCCTTGCTGTGGACAAGGCATTGAACCATCTCTTCTTTTTTCGGCATCTCTAAAATGGTTCATGCATGTATTGCATAGAAGCCATAGCATTCTGACAGTCTGTTCATGAACACACTTTAAGAGAGAAAAAGTCACTCACGGCGGTTGGCTTAAGAATTTGAGAAACCCAATAGTGGAATGGGGTAGGCTGTTGGACATGGATGACACATGGATCCACTTAACAGGTATCACAGTATTTCCCCTTATTGAATAAGAGCCAGACTGGCGTTAAGTGGCTCTGCTTCACTCATTTCATGCAGTGGCCTAGCAAAGCTTGAAAAGAAGCTGTGTGTATGACGTCAGGGTGTGCTGGGAGCATGGATCATATTAAGCAATTCCAAACTCTAAATGGCCAGGGACCAGTGAGTCCACGTGAAAGATTGGGGTAGGGTTTATACAAGTGTGGACCATGAGGTTAGAGCAGCTGAGGTTTCAGAATCAAGGGTCAAGGAAGATGGCTGACTGCAGGGCTCCAGTGGGGCAAGCACAGGTGGTGTGGCCTTTCTGAGCTGGTGAATCACAGGAGTCTGACTAAGGTTGACAAAGCAGTGCTTAATCACTCGCCCCCTAGTAAGCTAAAATCAAGAAGGGTGGCATTTCTTCTTCCTCCTCTTCCTCCTCCTTTCCTTCTTCCTCCTCCTCTTCTTCTTCCTCCTCTTCTTCCTCCTCTTCCTCCTCTTCTTCTTCCACTATTGGCCCAAAGCCATGGAAAAGTAAATAGATTTTTTAAAAAACACACAACCCCCCCCCCAAATCCCATACTTGGTATACGGAGTTTTGTATCTTTGCTATATGCTTCATATTTTTATGTCATTGTCAATATTTAACTATCTTGGAAAGGTTTTATATTGAAATTGAAATATATTGACTGTATACCTACTCTGATATGTATATACACGGTGAACTGTTGCTACAGTGAGCTATTAGTGTGTCTGGTTTGTTGATTTCCTTTATTTACTTACTTATTGATGTGTGCGTATGGTTGGCCATGTGTGTGGAGGTCAAAGATAACTTGAAGTACTCAGTTCTCTTCTTCTACCATGTGAATCCTGGTGATAGAGCCCAGGTTGTCATGGCTTGCTGGCAAGAGCCTCTATCCACTGAGCCATCTTCCAGCCCAGTATGTCTATCCTTTCAGTTGCATTGTATCGTTATGTGTATTTGATGAGAACACTTTGACCTAATGTCTGCATATTTTGAACGGAAAACATTAACTGTAGTCCCAATGCTGTCCTTTGGATCTCTAAAACTCAGTTCTGTGAAACTGAAGCTTTACATCCTCTGATGAAAATCTCCCTGTCTCCTCCTATACCTCGCCCATGATGACCAACACTCCACACTCCATGTCCTTGGATTGAGAGTGCTGAGGTCAGTGAAGTGTTGGGTACATCAGCAGTTACAGAGACAATTAGAATTAGTCAGGGGGCTCTGACATCATGAGTGGACTGGCTCCTCAATGGATTCATAATTTCATGGCCTTTTTGGGAAAGCAGCAAAGGGTCAGAGGTAGAGGTAGTTGGAGAGAGCGGGTCATTCTTGTGAGTATTGGATCCCTCGGAGCCATCATGTGGGTTCTGAGAACTGAACCTGGGTCCTCTGCAAGAAAAGCAAGTGCTCTTAACCCTGAGCTGTCTCTCCAGCCTCTGGGGTTTGTTCGGTTAGTTTTTTTAAATTTATTTTTATGATTTTAAAGTATGTGGTGTAGGGGTGGCATGTACACACGAGCCTGCAGAGACCAGTATCATTGGATCCCCCTGGAGCTGGAGTTATAGGAAGTTGTGGACCATCTGACATGGATGCCGGGAACCAAATGTATGCCCTCTCAAGAGCAATGTGTGCTCTTAACCACTGAGCGGCTCTCCAGCTCTGCCTCTGGGTTGCTTAATGATAGCGTCTCCTCCTCCCCCTCCTCTACTTTCGCTTCCTCCTCTACTTCCTCCTCTGCTTCTTCTTGCACTTCCTCCTCTTCCACTTCTTTCTCCTCCTCCTTCTCCTTCTCCTTCTTTTTACTAGGCAAATAATTTTATTAACTCTTTTCCAAACTTTATTCCCAGGCTTCTTCAGCTTAATTTGCCCCACAGAATAAACACAAATTTTATACAGAAAAATTGAAAAGAGTGGACGTGTCCAGGGGCTTGGGCTTAGACTATTAGAGATCTAGATTTTATCAGATCTATAAGAGAATTTTAAAAGTGGTCATGATTTAAAATAGCAGCTCCTAAAGCTTTTGAAAGTGAATCCAGAAGTTGCCTCAGTTCAGTTTGTCTCGTTCTTGGAAGTCTCATCAAAATTCTCCACAAGCTCTGGAACTACTACAGCTACTGCTTCTCCTCCTCCTCCACCCTCATCCTCTCCAGTAGCAAATGGTGCTTTTCCATCAGCAGATTGTTTGGGCAGCTTCAGTCAGTCAAACTGCACCAAGCTGGTTTAGGGCGATGGGAAGCTTTTCTGTCAGCTGCTCTGTCTCAGAGGAGCCTGTAATGGTGAAGGCTGAACTTCAGGGTTGTTAAAATGAACCACTGGTCCTTGGTTTGTAAACATGTTCCCCTCCTCAATATCAGAGATGTGTTCACACCTAACTTCTTTAAAAAAGAACTGCAGGTTTTTATCGCCTGCTGCGGCTGCTCTGTGGCCTATCTTCTTTCTGTGGGTGGTGCCTTTCCTACCAACACACACTTGTGCCTGCAGTTTGGTGAGTTTTTCCTGGTTCATGATTGTTTATTTTATATTGTTGAAGTGGAATCCATGGTGGGGGGACTGGGGTTCACACTCGGGGTCTCCAGCAGACCCTCTGAGATAAGGCACACACTGGGAAACACAAGATGGCAGCATGTCTTTCATATCCTGTGTCCTTGTTCTGAGGACTGGTACAGAAATGAGAAGCAAAGGAATAATAATTTCTTTATACACAGTTTGCTTTAATAGCCATCAGAAAGACTGCTTAGCATCTTCCCACCCACCAGTCTGCACATCATGTTGGCCTTCAACACATAGCCATAGCAATATATATAAATCTATATTGTACATTTATACACACACCCACATCCTATGAGCACTGTGGAGACAGAGTCTTCAGTACATATCAGGCCTGGCCCATGCCATTAAAAGAGGCACTAGTGTGCTGTACGCTAGACATACAGTAGGCATGATGTAGCCACCAGTCCCCAGTTCCCCTGAGGGAAGTTAGGATTACAGGGGACAACAGAGTTAAGGAAGTCGGTTCAACTTGAGATTTTGTAAGAAACAGAAGGTGCTAGGCTAAGCGCAGGACACCTAAAAGTTACCACGTTCACTGTGTAGACTCAGAGACCTCTGGTGTGCTGGTAGAGACCAACAGACTAGTGGGCTTGGCCCATAGGGCTGGCCTAGCTCAAGAATGGGCCTGTGAGGGGAGCTTGGTGAGCCCCAACAATGTCCGGCAGGGCACTGCCACTCATTGGTGTGTGCTTTTACAACTGTCTGAGGAGCATTGGTGTTGGGACCACACATCCTGTTTGTAGGCGGTGAGGTCCTGGTTCCCCTGAGTTGGCTATCTTGAGGACAGATGCTGAGGTGGGCACCATGCCGCTGAGGCTGTCTAGAAGCAGTGCCAGGGGCCTTCTACACAGTCTACATGAGTTTTGCTCAGTGCTGGGCCCGGTGGGCCTTGGCTAACTGTATTCATGCTTGCCAGGATGCCACTTTCTTTCCTGCCTGTCCCATGTGGACCTCCAGCAGGGGAGGGGTGGGACCAGGCATTCCTCAGCAGACAGGCAGCTGCACAAGAGGTGGGCAGGCCCACCCTTCCTGTTCCTTTAAGGACCTCTGGCTCTGCCTCTTGCGTGGCTCCTGGAAGGCAAGGGTCACAAGGCTGGAGTGCACATCAGAGCCCTGAAGGATTTCATCTGCAGACAAGAAGAAAACCAACCTAGTCAGCATGAGTGTTCAGGCTTCGCTGGGGACTGGAGTGAGAGGCAAATGTGGCTGGAAGCCAGGAGCCTGGTTAGGAGGGCAAGCACAGCGGGTGGTGGTGGGGGGAGTCCTGGCCTAGAGAAGCTCTTGAAGCCCAGATTAGAGGGAAGCTTTTCACACTCCTGGACTCTTGCTGCTTATACCTCTGTACACTGAGTGGCCAGACCCCGCCCAGCTCCCTTCAGGAGACAGTTCATGTTCCAAATCAAGTCGTCCGAAGCAAATAAGCAAACAGAAACCAAGAGGGTCTTTTATATCTCCCAAGAAAGAAGTGCTGAGCAAGATAGGAGCCCATGCAGGAGAGACATTCAGCAGGACGTCCTCCTGGTAAAGTGTACGTCCCAGTTATCTGAGATAGGGTGGAGCCAGCAGGGCCTCTGGAGGTGAGCTGAGCTGAGTTCTACCCTTACAGACTTGGGACAGAAGAATCACAGAGAGGAAGGGGCCAGCCAAAGCCACACAGGCAGTTAGCAACAGGCCTAGTGCTGAAAGCCTTCCCAGGGGCCTAAGGAAACAGAGAGGAAAGCTTCCATGGGCTGGGCCAGCGTTGCAGAAGATGCTGGTTACCTTTGCTGGGACAGGAATATGGCTGCACAGAGGCATTCTCGTAAGTGCTGTGCTACAGAGGCTCGGGAAAGAAAGGAGTCGTCAGAGAAGGAAGGGAAATGAGACCAAGACAAAAGGGCGCTACATCACAGCCCAGCCCCCTTTCCCCGTGGGCCTTAGCACTTGGCAGATGCCATTAGGAAGTGTCTGAGCAGATGCTCAGTTGTTCTGGCAGAGGCAGGTCTACCCTTAGAGAATAGCTTCTGATCCTTAAGCCACATCATCTGCACTGAGTCTTCTCCCACAGTGCTTCCTGCGGGAAGAGGCTACATTTGTGATACTCTTACAGAACTCCTGCCAGGGATAGGCCGTCTTTCCCCTTAAAAGGCAGTGTTTATTCTCAGGTTTTCTTTTATATCAAAGAGACGAGATAACGATCGATCGTTTGGGATCTTTACAGACAAGGATGCTTCCCACCTCACAGTGCAGTGGGGGTGATTTGTAAGGCTCTACTCTGCTTTCTTTTCCATAGAACCCCTGAGGAAATGTGAGTGCACAGTGGGTCTCACAGGCAGACTCCAAATGTCTCTGCCCTCATGAGGCAGCTGCATTCCATCTCTTGGCCTACCCATCCCACATAAAGGACAGAAAACTAGAGAGAAAAGGAGAGAGGACAAAAGATGAGGGCAAGCAGAGAGGTCAGGGGAGGGAGGCAGGGCTTGCTGAGGGACCACACTCTACACTGGACAAGAAACCCCTTAGAATGTCAGCTAGCCAGGGGCCCACAGACAGGATGAGAGTGGTGGGCAGAGGGCAGGCTCTGTGGCTCGGAGCTACAGTGTTGTCCTTACCTCTAAATTACTCCGTGCTTTCTTCAAGACATCATGGGTCTTGGTCACTGGAAACATAAAACAATCCCACAGACATGAAAATTACCAGATGAGTCTGGCTTGCTTGGCGCATGGAGCACTTTCTCTGCTACTGGGTGTGGCCTGTTGCTAACCATGCCCCCTCCACCCCCACCCTTACTTCTCAGTCCCTCCTCTCTCAATAGTCCCGAGTCCCTCTGGTCACAGTTCATCTGCTACAAGACTGGGTGTCAGGAAGAGCCCTCCCTTAGTGTCCTCCGGGGACACCTACGATGGCTCACGATGAACTGCTCCATGCTTTTCTTCCTCTGGTTGGCCCTCTTCAGGCGCGCAGCAGTGCTCTGAAGGAGCTGCTCCTGCTGGGATACTTGAGTTCGCAGGTCCAGGAGTTCTTTCTCCATCAGTTGTCCCTGAGGAGGAGGGACAGACTCAGACAACATTCACCAGGCTGAACACACCCTGGGCTTGGCAACCTTTTGTCTTCTCAACCTTTTGTATTGAATTCCTGTCATTAAAACTCCCCTAATGCCAGCTGGAGACAGCTGGGAACCAGGCCACCAGACAGAAATGGGGAGGGAAACTGAACCCTGCTGTGGAGAGCCTTGCTCTAGGCCAACACCAAATCCCAACTGTAAGCCAGAGCTCTGTTCAGTCCCATAGAATGTCCTCAATTCCTCATCATGAGAGTGACACTCAGGAATATTATATCTGAAGAGATGGGACTGGGCAGAGGACAGTGGGATAATCTGCAAATATCTGCCACCATGGAGATATGAAAGCACCTCAAATTAGCACAGTTGAGTCCATAAAGACATCAGTAACAGTTATCTGCAGCTGGAGTCTAGGGGAGATCCTCAAATACCTCTGTCCAACAGTCTGCTGGCCACAGCCCACCTAAGAGACAAGCAGACCCCAGGAAGTGGCAGGCTTTCCCAGGCCTGACCCAGAGACATAAACTGTAAAAACTGTTGAGATTCCAGAGCATGGCTAAAAGAGGCCATTTGCTTACGGTGGCGTTCTATGGCCTTTTGATCAGGTGCACCTCAGGGATGAAGAGTGCCAAATGGTTAACAGGTCTCTTGACCAGCTCAGCCAAACCAGGATACAAGACCTGGAAATGTCTGCGTGTCCAGGCTGACTGTGTCTACTTCCCATACTCTTTCCTTCTCTCTGATGTCTCATCAAGACTTGGATGGTGGGAAATGAATGTGTTCGAGCTGCAGTGACCGAGCCATGATGGCTCTGAGGCTCCAGGATGCTCCATGAAGATCCTGCCCATCCCACATTGCCCATTGCCATATAATCCCAGACCATCAGGAAATCCAAAGGAATCAGGAGCAGGGCAGGGCCATACTAGCATGGAAAAGTAGGTTTTAACCAGCCGAACACAAGGCCTCTTACCCCTTTGCCTACCAGTAGAGGACCATGCGAGTTTGGCAAGGCTGCTTTCCAGAACATGGTGAGGAGGGATGCTGACTCTTCCAGGGTGTGGCTCAGAGCCCTGGAGCTGCTCTGGAGCTCATAGACACTTGTGTTACCTGGTACCTGGGGAAAGAAGACAGGTAGTCGTGAATATCAGTGGAACTGAGGCATCTTCTTGCTCCAAGCATGGGGCTCAAGTTTCCTGTGTCACCAAACACAGGAGACAGGCCTGCTGGAAACCCTGGATTTCCCTTACAGTTCTGGGAGAGCTGGTCCCTTTACCTGAAACTCTTCCCCCAGGATACCCTACAAGCTTTCAAAACTCATCCCTGTGTTGCATCCTCTAAGAAACTGTACCTTCCTTGTCTGTGAGGCAACCACAGAGGACAGACTGCTTCTCCTACTGTGTCTACGGTACTTTACTGTACATATCAACAAGGAACTCTATCTTGCTCTTTAGTACTGGATCCTTGTAGACAAGGCTATCCTACACAAGCACCCATGAGTGTCCAGCTTCTCAAACAGCATCGTCATTGGTGCCTCTCAACTGCTAAGCACTCTGTAGAGCTTTGATGGCTGTCTCCCCTCCTCTGCTCAGTCTGGACGGGGAGACCTGGGTTATCAGGTTGGCTCCCTTACATATATGCAAGTTCATATGGATGCCTGTCCACCTGAGTGACTTTAATCTGTCTAGTTGTGGCTTTATCCCAGCATTCCTATTATAAAGCACAGGGTTTTCAGGAATTCTCGTCAAAATATCGAGTCAGCCTGTTCTGTAGCAGAGGGAAAATGGGAGACAGAGAAGGGCCTGGATGGAATAAACATAAGCCACTTCCTCCACTGCTGGAAGACAGAAAACACAGAAGTAAGGACTTTGCAAAGAAGGTGCAGGCAGAGTACAGGACTAACTAAGAGGTTCAGGGGTAATTACCTCTGTGCTCTGAGCTTCTCGTCCAGAGATGCTGCACGCTGGCCTCATGAGAGACAGTATCTTTTGGACCAGAAGCTTGCCTTCCCCAATCTGCTGTTGTAGAGCATCGTAGTCATCAACATGGCCGATGACATATCTGCCATGTTTGTTGGCAAATGGGCCATCAGTAGCATCATCTGCCAGCTTGGGAGGGTTCTTCATCACTGCAGGTTCATCTGAACCTAGCTCTGACAAAGAAGCAAAAGTAGGATCCATTGTTACACATAAGAATGACCTCAGTTCGAACTCCAAAGGGATAATGAAAGAGGCAAGAAGCAAGGCATCCTTCAAAACTACAGGGTGGCAGAGTCCACAGAACATTCAGTGTTCTGTATAATCATTCTTATGTCACTTTGATAGACACATCTTTACTGGGTTGTGGTAGTGCCATCAGATAGAATTTAGAGTTACCTGGGAGGCATGGCCTCTGGGCATGCCTGTGGTGGATCATTTTAATGACATTAACTTATGTGAGAAGTCACATTAGGACCATTCCCTAGACAGGCTATCCTGAGCCAGATAGAGTGGGGAAGGGGCTCTGAGCACTAGTATACATGTGTTCCTGGCTCTCTGATTCTGGTGTCAGATGCTATGCGATCAGCTCCCTTAAGTCCCTGAGACACCCTTGCTCTGGTGGCATGTAATAACCTGCAGCGGCGAGCCAGAAGCACACCTTTCTCACCTGCTTTGCTTTCTCAGGAAACTTTGTCATAGCAAAAAGAAAAGATATTGTGATATCTTTCAACAGGTGAAATATTAAGGGTGAATACTATTAACGAGGAGGTTTCTGGGTAAAGATGACAAATACAGGAGCCCTACTCAAGGGCAGGGCAATGAGAGAACAACCAAGGCAGAGGCCTGTGCATAGCACGAGACTGAGAAAGCTCTCTAGACACAGGTATGGCAGGTCCAGGGAGCCAACCAAAGGTTATTTGCATCAATAATTTCCCATCACCACCTGAGTCCTTTCATTGCTGTATTTACCATCTGTCCTGATGATGATGGCAGGGTCTGAGCTGGGAACGGAGCAAGAAGAGCTGGGGAGGACCATGGCTGGAGAATTCAAGCCAACATCCCGGACCGGAGGGGAAGCAGCTGGACCTAGAGAAGGAAACAGCTACCATGTCAGGTCTGCCAAAATGCTGCACACTGAGCCACACAGCATATGCCTAGCCCAAGATCAACCACAGGGAAGCAGCACTCACAGGCCACAGCACAGGGAGCCGGCAGAGCACCTAGTGTGTGCTCTTCTATTGAAGTGAATGTTTCACGAGAACGTCATTTCCAGTTGAAAAAAAAATGGTAGGAATTTTGTAAGTCTGACTTGGGATATAATTTTTGCATGTAGGGTCTAGTACCATTATGACTTGAAGTGAAATACAAATATGCCTGTGTACATAATATAGATGTTAACCTGTTGACAGAGGGCAGGGAGAAAGGCTCAGTAGGAGAATACTTGACATGGAACTGATAAAACAATTAGCTTATTTACTGAAGAATGATGGGTTCACAAAGGGTGTCTGGTTGTCACCCTGGATGTTAGTAACTACAGCAAGGCTCAGACATCTGGTCCTGGTCCTGATCCCTGGACCCAGAAACTCTTGCTTGCCTACCAAATGTCTTGGGATTCAATTTTCTCATAAATATTTCAATGAAATTCAATCCTGAGAAATATTTCAACGAAATTGCCTATCTGAGGAAACTAGTAAATTTTAAAGCACTACATAAATATGAGGATTCAATCATTATTGTTTCAAGCCCTTGACAATTTTTTTATTCAATGCTACAGATAACTATAATATATATGTATGTATTTGTATATATATATATATATATATATATATATATATATATATATATATATGTTATATATTATACATAATAAGCCCCATTTTTCAAGTGGCGAAAACTAAGAGTTAAACACTTGACCGTTTAAATACTTTGCCCAAAGTAGACAAAGTAAGCTTCAGATGTAATTACCTCTGTTCCCTGAGCTTCAAGTCCAGGGATGCTGCATGCTGGCTTATAAGAGGCAAACTCAGAATCCGGAGACAGGCCTGATCCTAACTCCCAGGCTGTCACTCGAGAGACCACAGAGCATCCCCAGATTCTGCCTGATCCTCATGGATCGGTTCAGGAAGACTGTCCCCTGTCCCACAGACATCCCAGAGCAGAGAGCTCTGGCTTTCCTCTTCTTCCCTACCTTGGAAGAGTGGCTGTGGGTCTGTGGGCTCCACCTTGGCTGAGAAGCTCTGGCCAACAGGGGAGAGGCTGATGCTGGCTGGGCCAGCCCCACGATCCATCTGCTGTTCCAGCTGCAGCCGCAGACGGTTGTTCACTTGAATGCTCTGCTCCAGCTGCCCTCTCAGAGCTCGAATCTCTGCCACCAGGCAGCTTAACTCACCCGGGACTTGATGACAGGAATCTAGGCTGAAAGCTGAAAGAAGAAGGGAGGGAACCTAGTGGAACCGACCATGCATATCCACGTAAGAGTCAAATATCTCTCTCTGACATTCCTTTCTGGCAAGGGTCCCACTGGAGTCTCAGAAGCTTGGCCACATGTCTGTGAGACACAACTCTTCTCATTCAGCCCGGGAGCACAACAAGGTGGCATATAACTAGCCTGGGACTTCTCTGAGGGCCAGATTAGTCATGCATGCCCATGGGGGCTTAGACTGGCAGATGAGAATAAGCCTACTGTGTTGTCCCCCTGTTAAACTTTGTCCTCAGGCTAGAAAGCAGGTCAGCACTGAACTAAAAAGGAGTGAAGGTTGAAGGAGGAGATTTGATGGATTCCACATGTAGAGAGGATAAAGTGAACACATGGGCCTTCCGGGAACAGAACACGGGAAGTCACTCAGATCTTAGACCTGGGCTCAAAGGTCCTACGTGAAGTTTCAACTTCTCGTCTCCTCATGCATTTGACACAGAAGAGTGAAAAGAGCTAATCAGCAAGTTTAGAATTCAACACTTCTTACCTGAAACCTGAGAGCCACTTATATTTTCAAGGGCAGAACTAGTGTTGGGTTTTACCAAGACCGTATCTACACCTTCTACTACCTGCACTGTGCATCTCGCCCACAGCCCTCAGTCCAGCACATACTTACTTCTGTCATAGGCTATGTGAGCAGTCTAAGTAGACAGAGACTGGCTATCTGCCTATCACTTCAAGTATGCTTTGTCATCAGATCAATACACGGAGAAGCCTGCAGTTTAGCTACCTTGCTAGATTTTGGAATTCAAAAGAGTTATGGGACATTAATGGTAATTGGTTTGCAATGGACTCAAGAAGGCCCATACACTAACAGAACACATCATGAAAGGGGTACACATGCCGTGTGTGTGTGTGTGTGTGTGTGTGTGTGTGGTGTGTGTCGTGGTGTAGAGGAGGGGTGGACAGGATGAAGCAGCTTCAGAGATGAAGGTTCTAGTGTAGTTTCTCTTCCTCTAGTTAACTTTTGATTGTTTTGGAAAAAAAATTCCCATCACCCATTGCCCTTGTCTTCCAGTTGTACCATATCTCTTACTATGATTTTTAAATTTTGGGATTATATCATTTCTCCTTTTCCCTTTCTCCCTTTCAACCCTATAACCACCCCCTTCCAGTTCATGACCCAATTGTTGCTACACACACACCTGCTCAGTTCCCATAATGTTACTCATGTGTTTTCATGGCTGAGCATGATGTTGGATAACCAGCTGGTGTGTTCTTCCCTTTGGTGCCTGTGGCTCTCTGCCCAGGGCTGAGGCCTTATGCGCTATCCCCCTCTGGAATGAGCATGGCTATTGCTGTCCTTTACCTCCCCAGTAGCACCTTGTCTCTTAATCTGGAAACATCTCTACACTTATCCAAAGTTCTTCACAGATTGGAGGCCTCCTAGCTCCTGACTTTAATACATTCCACCAGACTTACCATCTTAAAACTGTTTTCCTCATGGAGTCATCTTCCTTGAGAGTAAACTCTGGTCTTGAATTTTAGGCTTTCTATGTGGCAGCAGCCACCCTTCCCACCACCCTGACTTCTCACCTCTCCAGTAGCAAGGGGCTCCCACAGACAGACTGACACACTGTTCTGGACTTCAGCCTTTCCTTCTCTTGGCCTGGTGAGCCCCTTATACTTCAAGCTCTAATTTCCTTTCTCTTCCCTATTCCATTTGGGTAGGGAACTACACTGAGATTCCCAAATACTAGATTTTGTTTCAGCAGATGGAGAAACTGCTTAGTAAATACCTGATAGTTAAACCTAAGGCCCATTAGTTCTATTTCATTAGGCATTTTTTTTTCTTTTGAGTCAGTTTCTCCACTTGGGAAAGGGAGGCAGGGTAGATGCTGATTGGATGGGCTGCCATGGTCTATCCTTCAGCACACATAAAGATCCCTTCTGATGGTTACAGCCCTAGGGTATTTCTTTATATAAACCATGCTATAATCTTGCCACTGATTAAGTTGTTTTTATTATTAAGTAGATGAAGTGACTCTTGTGGTCTGCCCTTAAGGTATCCAGGCTTGATCTGCTCATGTCAACAGGGCCTCACCCTTGGGCTTTACCAAGAATGATGAGAGGACCCTCATACCTTTTAAGCCCTTCTTAGGATTTTCACAGAGGGACTCATAGATCTGGAGCTCTGACTGCAGGGACAGGGAGAGCTGCTGTTTCTCTTCGCACTGTTGTTGCAGGAGGGCCAGCTTCTGCTGCAGCCTGCCAAGGAGAGGCAAGGGTTCACTGACCATGTGAGAGAAATGAGCTGTGAGCCAACCTTTGCCTCAGTTGACCTGGTGGGTTGGCCTGGCCATCACACTCATTTAGCAGAGTCTGGGGCAGGTAAAGTAAGTCAGCCTGAAGTCGGAGCATTAGCTCCATGTGAGGGAAGCAGGGTAAGCACATTACAGGCCCCTCTCTGCTCTACAGCGCTCTCCATGACGACAGGCAGATGCAGGGCTTCCACTGGATAGCAACTTGCAGTTTATGGAGAAAGTGATGTCATGCATCTAGTGGGAATCGTGGGAATGCTCTCCTGCCAGTCTCTGACAGGTGGAAACCTCTGTGTTAGAATTTCATCTCTCTACTTCAGAGTAAAAAAAAAAAAAAACCCTATGCTTTTATTTCCCCCCCCCCCAATAGAGTCTTCCTTTTGTTCTGAGCGACCAGTGAGGCAGGAATAGTGAAGGAGAAACTTAGGTTTCCAGAGGAGAAAACTACTAATTTGTCAATGTCCCTTCTGCACTGGAAGTGGGGGCATTCCTATCAAGGCCCCGCTTACCTGGAGTTGTTTTCCTGGAGGGACAGCCTCTCCTCTCGGAAATGCACGATCTCAGCCTGCTTCTCTTGCAAGTCTTCCAGAAGCTGCTGCCTCTCAGCCTTCTGCTGTTCCAGCTCCTTCTCTAGCTCTTGAAGCTGGGATCTTGAGGAGAGTAGAGCTTCCCGAAGGTGGTCCATTTCCTGGGAGTGTCCTGATGAGCAGGACACAGGGGTATTTATGTCAAGGCCTAAAGCCCATTAGAAAGACAAATGCAAACACACATGAGTCCAGGGGAAGGAAGGTCCTGTGTGGCTTCCTGCAGTCTGGCTTAGTGGACCCCACATACTGGGGGTTCAATGGGAGTGGTGTTTGTGGTATCTGACCCTCCATTAAAGAACACCTGCCCTGCCTCTTAGAGGAGACAGCATGTTCCTGAAGCTCAGAGTTCTCTATATGCCCATGTGCACCTGTACACCTTCAGTCTTATCAAAGACCAGCACTGATTCCTTGTTTATGGTTTTGAGAATATATTCTTTTCAGCTTTTGAAAAATGTGGACAGTTGGTGTCTTCTGGCTGTGTGACATCTTTCTGGTCAAAACTCCTTGAAGATGATCTATAGGAACTCTTTATATAAGGCTAGTCCTTGGGTACAACTGTGTTCATTTGGAACTCTTAGTATTTCCTATCAGTGAGGCTGTCTTCCTCTGTCCCAGCATGCACTGGTAGTCATCTCTCTGCCATGCCCTCATCCTTCAGTCTTGGTTATCTTCCAGCAGGGGCCCTGCCTCACATGTCTTCCTGAACTGACTTAGTACAAAAGTCCTATGGAGTTTCCTTAGGGATGGTTCTTCTCATCTGTTGCCTCCATAGGGATTCTTTCATTCTGGACTTAATCCTTTCATATATCACTCTTGGTCTTTTAATGGCTGTTCAGTAGGTATTTGTAAGTAAAAATCATTTGTTACTAGTTACACATTAATTTAATCACTTCAATTAATACTATGTAATTTGCCTCCCAGGCCACATGGGCAATAACGCCCATTTATAGATGACCATTAAGTAGGACTGGGAACGTTCTAGAGGACATGGAACCATAGGAGGACCACTAAAGAGCAGTCTGCAGGGGACTGTAGGGAAAGGCAGAGGAATGGCACATCAGGACTCAGACAGCTGCCCAGAGCTGTACTTGTTCCAGGATGCATGAGAGAATACAGACACACATGATCCCTGGTTTTGTGGCTCCAATCAGCTGTAAGCAGACAGAAGGGGATGGATTTTAAACTGTCGGGACAGACGCTGCTCTTGGATGTAGGCAGGCTTTCAAAAGGGATAGGCTTCGTAGAGCCATTCAGTCTCAGAACCTAGGAGCCTGGAGGCCAGGGTTGGGATCTTTTATGGCAGTGGTTCTCAACCTTCTTAATGTCATGACCCTTAAATACAGTTTCTCATGTTGTGGTGATCCCCAGTCATAAATATTTTTGTTATTACTTCATAACTGTAATCTTGCTACTGTCATGAATCATAACATAAACATCTGTGTTTTCTGATGGTCTTAGGCAACCCTTGTGAAAGGATCATTTGACACCCCCCCCAAAAATGTCTTGACCCACAGGTTGAGAACCACTGTCTTAGGGAGTAGCCCTTTGTAGACAGATTAGCAATGTATATATTGGACTGGTAAATTAGAGTAGCTGTTAACTAAGCCTTCTCTCTGCTTTTGCCAGTCGGTGATTGCCCTGACAAGGGCAGACAGTCCTAGGAGGAACTGTAAGTCAGCTTTTGCACAGCCTACCTCTGGAAGCATGACTTAGCCGTGTCTGCAGGCTTTGGTTTTCTTCCCTTAGGGCTCTGTTCTCACCGTAGAGCTGAGACATGGACTCCAGTCCCTGACCGTAGACGTGAGAGGTGGACCCTGTCCAGGACAACACACACATGTCCTGTGTAACAGGTGCTTCTTTTCACCCCCTCAAAGATCTGCTGTCCCAACCCAGCAGCAATCTCGGCCCTCGAGGCCTGGGATTAACTTGAATGCGACGGCTGGGTGCTGAGCAGTGTGTGTTTGTTTGTTTTCAGAGCATGCGGTCTTTGTGTGCACCCAGCACTTGCAGCCCTTCTATTTGTGTAGGAAGCTTCTCCTCCCGACTAGCCAGGGCTACTGTGTGGAAGGAGCAATTTCCTGTACAAAGAGTGACATCTTGTGGGGTGGGGGAGGTAGGGACCAATGGCCTTCTGAGTGAAGTGGGTGTGGGTGGTTCTTGGTAGACCTCCCTCTACCGGTTACCAATCACAAGGACATAGTGAACCGGCCAACTGCATACAAACAGATTAAGGACAAGAGACCAGATCTTTGCCTGAGGAAAGTCAATCTTTGAGCTCAGAGTGCAAATCAGAAATAACCGCTCCCCATACCCTCCAACCCTCGATTGACTGTGACAATCAAGTTAATTAAAGACTATCAGACTGGTTAGAAAAGTGTGAGGCTCTGTCTAGTGGCCCTCCCTTCAGTCGGGACAGAGACTGGGCCTTGCCTACCGTTTTCTCGGGCAGTGGAGCTGAGCCTGTGCTGCAGCTGCTCCCGAAGCCGGTCATTGACACATATGGACTCCTCCAGGCGCTGGCGCAGGTTCCGGATCTCACCTAAGTGCTCTTCCAACAGGTCGGCTCCTGCAGCCATCCCAGGACAGGGCAGAAGCAGGAGACACAAAGCTGGTTACTAGGGTGAGGTGAGCTCTGCCAGTAGACAACCCAACCTGCCCCTAATGTCGCCTTCCTTTTGTCCACAATGTCCTTTCACACAGTCAGCTCCACTTAGTGAGATGGGAGCTTTGTAACCACAGAGTGGCTGGCCCCTTGCTAAGGAAAGCCCATGGACCTCTATCCACTGCGAAAGGGAACTCTGTATGACCGAGAAAATAACTGACATCTAACTGAGCCCAACTGCCATCTGGAAAGGCAGATCCGCCTCTTGGGTGTGGTTTTGGGGGTGACAGGGAGGCCTTGCTGCCTTTTTTTCAGTCCCTTTTCCTGATAAACGAATCAATAGTTTTAGCAAAACCTGTCCTTTCCCACCTACAGAGAAGGCCTAAGGTATGCTTCTCCTTTTTAGTAAGGCAGGCAGAAGGAATCCCCTGCATGGATCTAGGACCCCAAAGGACCCTGGAGAAGAGGCACTGCTAGGTTACAAGTGTACGGGTTTACTTCCGGCTTTCTCCTGAAAATTGAGTTTCTTGCAGTTGGGACCGAGTTGCAATGTGCCTTTTGCCTTAGCTGCGGCCCTCTACTTGCTATGACTGGGTTTTGTACATAGAATGTATTTGAGGGGTAGAGAAGCTGTATCCTTTCTATTTATTTCCTGACTGAGGAGAGAAAGTCCGAGCTCTGTACACTACCTGTGGGTTTGGAGTTAAGCTGGTACATCGAGGAGCCTGAGGACAGCTCCCCAGAGACACTCCCTTTCTGAGGCCTCATCATGTCCCACTGGCCACTGCTACCCAGGTATCCAGGCTCCAGGATTCTGCTCAGCTCTATGGTGGCCCTTGTTGGAGAGTGGGGCTGAGCAGGGTTGACGTAGTGAGGAGAGCTAGCTTCTGTATGGTTGCTGAGCAGCGTGGATGTGGAGGCGGGAGGGGCAGTGCTAACACCTGGGCAGATAGAAACACAGTGAGAGATGGTATCAGCGGCCAAGAACAGTAAGGACATCGAGATGGCTGAGAATGGACCGGTAGCGGTAGACACGGGGGTGGGGGTGAGGGGAGGTTAGTGCCCCAGTTCATCAGAGAATATCGGTTAGATGAAGACTCAAAGCCTCAAGCCTGACTTTCACCCTCTGCATTTCTTTTTTTTTTAATTTTTTCTCAAATCATAATTAATTCACACAGGGGTATAAACACAGAAAGGCAGGACGTGGGGAAGGGAATGACACTGGAGTGTGGGTGTTCAGAGGGAATACAGATATCTTCAGAACTGGGTATCGGCTGGGTGAAGGTTCAGGGGACAAGTCACCATGACTCTGCCTATGACTCGCTTGTCCCCATCACGAAACACAGAGAGGCAGAGGATGATGGAGGGTCTGAAGAGCTCAGGGGCTCCACTCCTCGTTCCTACTGTTATTCCTCATGATCGAATCCAGGTAAGTTCTGGAAGTAGGAGTCATCCCATAGCTAGGGATAAAGAATGTGATAGGCTATCTAACTGGGCACACCTCCAAATGGAGACATCAGTTTGCCTGCATTTTCCATCGCCTCCTTCAGGGAGACAGGGGATACGACTTTTCCAGATTGAAGAATTGTTCAGTCTTGAAAACTCTTTGTGTAAGAAAAGGTGTGATCTGTATCCCCTCCAAAGTCATCAAATCTTAAAGCAATGGTTCTCAACCTGTGGTATGCAACCCCTTTGGGGATAGATGACCCTTTCACAGGGGTTGCATATCAGATACCGTGCATATCAGATATTTGCATTGTGATTCTTAACAGTAACAAAATTATAGTTATGGAGTAGCAACAAAATAATATTTTATGGTTGGGGGGCCACAACAACATATATCAGGAAGGATAAAGACCACTGCCTTAAGGAATTATCAAACATATCCTAAGGAGGGCAGTGGGACCTCCTCTTTCCTAGGATGATGCTTTCAAAGACCCTGTGAAAACACAGGCCTCTCCCTGGGCCCTTTAAGCAGAGGCAGGAATTCAGGTGATGTCCTATATAGCCTGTTTCTGATCTATCTAGAGAGTGTCTGAAAGGAGGGCCCCTGTGTGGGGCTTAGATTACTGCTTCTGTTTTTTAAAGCCAAGAATAGGGAGGGAGTGTTGGGGTGGTGTGTGTGTGTGTGTGTGTGTGTGTGTGTGTGTGCAGAGGGATGTATGGGACCATAGTTCACAGTGTGGAAGGCTGATTCCTTCCAATGATTATCAACACAGGCAAAAGCAAACAGGAATGAGTCCATCATTTCCTCCAAGCACATCAGACTCTGGCAAGGATCAGTACAACTACAACTGCAACTGACACATTTTTATCCTCAATTAGAACTAGTTCTCACATTGGGCTACCTGCTAGAATCAGCTAAGATAAACACACACACACCTGGGCTGCCATAGATAGGTGTAAGATACATATTGAGCACTGGACACTTAGGGAAGTCATCTCAGGAGATTTTAACAGGCTGTATCCTTTGAGAAGGATTGTGGTAGGCCTTTCCTTCCCCCATTATTCTAGCTACTCATTAGGGTTAAAGCAGAAGAGACTAAGGATTTAAGCATTTATACTTTTTAGTGGGGACTTAACAAAGATATGATTTTCTATTCCTTTCATACCTGATGCTACCCTAGCCCTAAACAAGGCAAGGGTCATGAGAGGTTTTAAGTCGATTGTACCAGTGATCAATATCCTTGTGATCTAGTTTCCTCTGATTGCACATCCAGAGCCCCTGCCCTGTAGCATGCAAACACATCATGCTAGGAGTTCTTAGCCCCACACATAGCTGGGAAGCTACCATGTGCCAGTTTCTACATGGAAAAGTGATCCACAGTAGACAGTGAACACTGGGTGGTGTTCCCTCAGAGATGGTCCCATGCCTTCAAATGGGAAAAGGAAGGGCTACAGCATTCTTTACAAAGGCTAGAACCATCTGAACCAACATCAAGGGCCTGAGACTATAACTCCAACCCATGAAAGACCTGTTTTATGCACAGGGCTCTCTTTCCATTTTCTTCCCTTCCATAAAGATCTGTTGACAGTTGTAGAAAGGTACAGAAAAGGGGGACGGAGAGAAGGAAATAGAAGCCAAAGAACGTTTATGCCATCTCAACACGAGACATATTGGTGTCAGAACTGCTAACAGAACAGTCTTAGGTCATAAGTCCTAGACCCTCGGCTGGTCTCTAAAGAGAAAGGGAACTCAACTCAACAATCGCCAGAGTGCTTCCACTGGACTCAGCCCATAGCCTAAGCAGCAGGGCATCCAAACTACCCTAGTGCAAAGGTGTGGGGAAATCACACACCAGGAGCAGAAGACAGGCTCCAAGCCCAACTCTCGGCTCTCCCACTGGCCATTACCTTGAGTCTTCGCTGCCTGCTCTAACTCCATGCACTTCATGGGACTCTAGTGAGGTTCAGGCAAAACTATAATACTGTTAGGTAAGTCCTACACTGATGTTTTAGAGAAGTCTGGTAACAGAAGGTTTATTCCCTTAGATTTCATAGCCTACAGAATTGGCAGTGTTTTCTGCGTTGGCATTTTTGTAGTCCAGTGGATTCTGCAAATCAAGCTGGGTGGGCATTAGACAAACTATCCATTTTGGGGGTTGACAAAAACCAAAAACAACAAACAAACAAAAAGAACAAAACCCAAGCTGATTCAAACACCATCAGAGGCTTTACAGATTTAAGCTGCAGGCTGTGATCTGTGGTCAGTCACTACCCCAGCTGTGGAGGCCCCGCCCTTGCTCACTCGAGCTTGGGCACAGGCACAGAATGGGACTTGAGCATAATTCTCAAACTCTTTCTAGTTGTTTGTAAAAATCATTCCTTTTTCTACACCTAAAGTGATGATGTGCATCTTCTTACAATGAAGCATCAGTGCACACACCCAGCAGATCCCTTTCTATGAACTCTGCAGTCCCTTACAATTAACCTCCTACGGAGTCAGAGGACAGAATTCACAACAACTGTCACAGCCTGAACTTACAAGTCTATCCGTATACATGTCCCATTTTCTTTTGAGGGGGTGTAGAATGAACCTTGAGCAACAAGGAAAGAGGCTCTACCCAACTCTGTTTCTGAATCTTGATCCCACCCTTTGTATGTTAAACAGACGATTTTGAACACTTAATTAAGAGCAGTCTGCAGCAAGAGATATGACAGTCCCTATATCTTTAATAGCTATGTCATCCTACAAGGGCAAAGCATACCTTATTTTTTCCACCTGCCAGTAAGTATTTCCCAGCCTGCAGGGATGTATAGTGTTGGGCCAACTGTTAGCAGTCTGTGGGTGCCAGGTCTCTGAATACCTCCCTTAGCTTATGTGCACACGCCAGAGACAAGAGCAGACGCACTTCAGACAAGAAGCAAGCAAGCTTTCCCTCCATCTGCCACCTGTGACATGTGCCTCGGTTTTCCCTTTGCCACCATCAAGCCAAAGCCATGCAGAGCAACGCGAGTGGGCCCCACTCATAAGCACACCAAGGCAACAGCGGTGCTCACTTTCTCCAAGCTGCTTCTGCAGCATCTGCAGCTCTTGTTGAGCCTCAGCCAAGGACACCACCGGTGTCTCACAGCAACCAAGAAGGGGAGGCCCAGAGGGGCTGAAAGGCACGAAGCTGGCCAGAGTGGAGTGCATTGGTGCCTGGGAAAGGCTAGCCGGCTTGGGTATGGAGTTAAAGTGAAAGCCTGGAAATAAAGAGTTAGGGAGAGAGGAGACATCATTAGAGAGAAAGCAAGAGAAAAGCAGAAAAGGTCGACCATTCCCTGATGAGATGTGGGCCTGTCGTGTGGCCAGCACTTGCTGTGGTGTGGGCTAAGCCAGCAAGGAAAAGCTACTCTTAAGCAGAAGCCTGGTAGGTCTCTCTTCCTCACCACTTTGCCAGGCTCACCTGCATATGTAGCCTTTGTTCAGCATGGAGGCTACAGAGGCAAGATGGCATGACTCACCCCTACCACACATCAAGATGGCTATGCTTATTTCCTGAAAGGCTCCTGTGGCGCTGGTCCTAGCATGTGCCAGCCCTCTCTGGGAAAAGACTATCCATTCCATTCATCTACAACTCCCCACCCCCTCTCTCATAACTGCATCAGGATCATCCTGGGGAGGGCAGACTAGACCAGGCATTACTATTAGGTATAGTGTGGGGATTTGGTGGGAACAAACTTTAGAAATCTAAAGCAAGGTGTTCACTCATAAGATGAGAAACAGCCATGGGGGCATGGCTGAGTCAGTGGCCTGCAAAGTCGTCTGAGAGAACTATTTAACATTTGTAGTAGCTTATATTCACTGAGTGGGCTGCATTGTGGCATGTCTACATGTGTGTGATATACTTTGATCATATGCTCCCAGGATACTGTCTTGTTTGTCCTTCTTCCTTTCCCCAGACTCCTCCTCCTTCTTAAAAGGTTCCACCCTTCCTTTTTCTCCTTTTCCTTCTGCCCCTTCCTTTGATAAGCTCTTACTATGCAGTACAGATTAGCCTCAAGTCATCATGATACTCCTAAGAGCAGGATTGAACATGTGCACCACCAACTTGTAGTACACACAGACCTGGCTTCGTGCAGAACAGGAATAGAATGATAAACCCGGGAGTAGAGCCTAGAAGTTAAAAAACAAAACCAAAAACAACAAAACACTTTTCCCTTAGAGATCTATGTAGTCCATGGCAGCCAAATCTTTAAAAACACTGTGGAAATCTAATGTTTTAAATCCAGTGTTTTCCCTTTGCAGTGGGGAACAGGGCAGAAATCAAGACTATCTTGAGGAGGAGGCCTTATGTACAAGACATGACTATATCTATAATACATCATTGGTCCCATGGTGCTGAGACTGCATCAGAGTGATACTGCACACAACCAAACTGCCTAGAGATACAGCCCAGGGATCTTTTAGGAAGGCATTGTGGTGTTAAAACCAATGACTGTAGGCTCCCTTTGAGCTGAAAGCATTTTAGCAGGTTGTCTGTGCTGGGGGAATCTCTTGGTCCAGCTGCTACTCGCTCAGACCCAGAAGCCCATAGCCCAGGCACAGGTATATAGCCTTCTTGCTCAAGACTGTGGTTGAATAGCCCTTGGGAAGGGTGAAGGAGTCAGAAAATAGGACCATGCTTTTCTGGGACTCAGACCTCATCACATACTACATGAAGGTAGCCAGCCATGGAGGAAGGCAAAGAGCAGGGACTGGCCTTTCTCTGAAGCAGAACTGTGAGCGGTCAATGAAACCTCTGACAGCTATGCTGGGACGAAAAAGTGTTGTTGCCAAATACAACAAATAAAACAAAAAGTTATTGTTGCCAAAATACATATATACCATTCACAAAGCCATTGATGGTAACGTAAATAAGCAGCATTTAACTCTGAAGTTAGCAGCACCACCCATGGACTGGTTAACTGGGTAATATGTATGAAATTAGTAGCTCTTTCTTTCTGTGCTTTGGCTTTGTAATCCTATAAAAATGTTGGCATCTGCTCTCTAGGGTGAGTGAGAGAAAGAAATGAAGGTGCTTATTTGAAAAAGCCAGCTATTAGTCAAAACCAGTCTCCAGACTAAAGCTTTCTGCAGATGTCTTTGTAATTTTTAAAAACCAGACACATCTGATAAATGAGAATGACCTCCTGATTTGGGTAGGACTTGGTAGATTTCGGCTCCTAGCAGTTTCCACCCTTCTCCCTGAAGGAAACCAAGCAGGCAGCTGAGAGAGAGATGAAGCTACCGCCCCACTGGCTTTTGCATACCTGGATGGGCCTGGCTGGCCTCCTTAGGGGGATTCTGGGGAGTTGGCAAGCTGATGGGGCTGCTGCTGGACTCGCCCTTAAGCCCCTGAGATGCAGTGGCTGCTGATGGGTTAGAAGACAACACAGTAGAATGACTCGGAAGATGGATGGAGTCTACAAAACCCATGAAGGAAAGACAATGCTTGGTGTTCTACAGAGACCTGGAACCCAGGCTTTTTAGTATCCAGGAGGACTGGGGCCAGAGGCTGGCTGTCATGGAAGACCCCAAGGACAAGGACTGTTTGCAGTATCCAGGATTTCTGGGGCCAGAGGCTGGCTGTCATGGAAGGCCCCGAGCACAAGGACCGTTTGCAGTATTCATTTTCTTTCAGATAGCTCCTTCAGTAGGAGAACTGCCTTTGGGGGACAGAGGGTTTCAGAACCTGGAAATCCTGAAGGAGCTCCTGTGGCAGAGGCTGTGGGAGCCCACAGATACTCAGAGGCCACTGTGCAGAAACTGCAAGGACATAAGGCACTCCATCTTAAAGAAGGAGGTCTATCAGACAGAATTGATGAGACGTAAAGGTTGGCCACCATCTTCTCACTTAGAATTACATGTCATCATGTGGCTGATGGCAGGACTCAGAGTGACAGAATTACTGGTAGAGTCAAGGACAGAGCAAGGATCTGAACCCTAGGGAGCCTGTGCTTGAGACTTGGTCCCAGAGCCATGTTCCATTCAGCCTGCTACACACCAAAGTGGACTGACTAGAAGGCCTGGATCCCAAGGTCTCCTCTCAGTCTAGACAGCAAAGGTACCATTCCAACAGTGGAGGCTACCTGAGTGACTGGGTGAGGATTTCTTCTCTTCATAGTGTGTGTACTCGCTGGCTACATCCATGTCAGAGCAGGCTTCGATGTCATCTGACAGGAAGGATGTGCTGCTGGCAGAGCGGTGGGAGTCAGACACGGCATGGCTGCTGGGAGGTGAGAGAGACCGGGTATCTAGCTTGGCCTGCAGAACTTCAATCACTTTCTCCTTCTCCTGTAGTTCCCTGCTGAGCCTGGTGGGGAAGGAACAGGTCACAGGTGAAGCCAAGGTGACCCAGGCCAGCTAGTCTCCACTAAAGCCCACAGGGAAACCCACATGTGCCAAGAGCACCATTCTGGGCATAGAGTGTATATGTGCCATAAATGGATAGGTGGCAGTAGCTATGCAGTAGACAGGCCACATGCTGAGCACCAGCAGGGGCACAGCGAGTCCCTTAATGGGTGGCCACTAGACAGCAGCAGTCTGAGGACAATTAGCATCTCCAGCAAGTATAAAAATCAAAGAGAGCCTTGAAAAATGTGGAATAAAACGTTGTCACAGTATCTGAAACTAGGACAAGTGGCGTCAGTCGGTTGGCTCAAGTGTAGGTCCTTTATGTGTCAGTGACAGATGAGAAACAAAAACAAGAACAACATACTCTATGTCCCTTACCACAGGCATTTGAGAAGGACTTTCAGGGTCTAAAGCACAATCATGACACAAAGAGCTCAGAGCAGTGGCCACAGATGACCCTGAGCCAGTGAGTTCATGAGCATTACAAACTGAGTATTTCCGTTGAGGAACTGCTGCCTTCCAGGGATCTACACCGTCTGGGCCCCTTTCTCTGTATACTCTCATGGGAGTCTTCTTTCTCCAAGGACACCAAGTGACTACTAAGCTAGCTGTCATTAAAACCCAGGGCAGGCTGACCTTACAGGAAACTCATGGGGTGGGGAGCAGGAAGAGGAAGTGGACTCTTGATACACACATGGTTCAGTCATGGATCTGACTGCTTCTAGCTTACCATGCCTGAAACATCACTGCAGCAAAAAAATCATATCAAAAGGAAAGAATCTGGAAACAAACCAATGAGTGTTCAATGAGCTACTGCATTACTCTCGTCCACTTCCTCACTCCATCTGTGAGCGTGGGGCTACCCTGACTGGATCCCTTCAGACTGCCTTCAGAATTACCTGAGGGCCAGCGGCTCAAGCCCAGCTTCTTCTTTTTCACTCTTATGATCCTCTGAAAACCAGATTTAAAAAGTAACAAGTTAAATGGATTTCATGTCACACCTTAGAAAGCACAGGTCCCACTAGGACAAAACAGTGATTATGCCACACATAGGTTCAGGAAAGTTATTTTGTATGTTCAAGTTATGTCTCTGTGTGCACATGTTTACATGTACATAATATGTACATGTGTGTGTGCATGTATGCACACACATATGTGTCATGTATGTGCACATCCATGTGTGTGCATGTACATACATATAATGTATATGTACACATGCATTTGTACGTGTACATGTAGGGTTAGGGTTAAAATGTGGTTTATGTGTGCTGTGTGTGTGCACATGTATGTATGTTCATGTGTGCACATGTATGTGTGGGAGTGTGCATGCTTGTTGAGGCTGGGGAACAACCTTGGGTATTATTGCTCAGAAGAGCCATTCACTACTTTTTCTGTCTTTTTTGAGACAGTCCCTTACTTAACTTGGACTCACCAACTAAGCTAAGCTATCTGGCCAGCAAGTCCAGGGGACCCATTTGTCTCTGGCTCTTCAGGACCATGGTAACAAGTGTGTGCTACCATGTACGGGTTGTTTATGTAGACTCTGGGGATTGAACCCAGGTCTTCTTGCTTGCCAGGCTACTTCTCCAGCCCTGGGTTATGTCCTTTTCATCAGCATAAGTTAACTATGCAAATGACAGACTTCATCAGAAGACCTCCACAGATGTACATAAGGTAATTTGATTGGAAAGTCCTCTGTTGCCCACTTACCCCACCCCTCCTGCTGGGCCCTTTTCTCTAATCTCCTCCCACTGCCATGTTTGCCATTACTAATATTTTTAGATTGTCTCCTGACTCAACCTGTGAGGGAACACCCATGAAAGCACTTTTTTAGGGTAGTGAGCAAGTAGCTCACCTAACCTCACTGGGGAGACTATCCCTGACATGGTGGTCACAACCATGACTGTGTATGTCTAAATTGGAGCTAAAACCTGAATCTATTTTTTTCTCACTTATCACAAGATATTTTCCCAGTTGTTCTCTTGAATTTTCCAGCCTCCATTCTGTGGCAGACTGGCTCCCACATTCGAGGGCATGTAACCATGAAGTCTTTCATATCAACCGTCTTTTGTATCTGAGATGACAAGTCCCTTTTCCTGTAGATTGACCCAAACTCCTGATTTTTTTTACTCCAGCCTCCCGAGTCCTGGGATTTTGGAGCATGCCAATATGCCTGCCTGGCTGTACAGCTGTAGCTGCCATGCTTGGTGCTGCTCACTGGAGTCCTGAATCGTACATGGCCCTCAAGACATGAGACGACTCTGAACTCTGGAATAAAATGCTGTTGTGGACAAATGGTGGCCACCTGAGCCTAGGACTGTGCCAGAGGCCGACTTACTTGTGCTGAGTTTGCTGGTGAGCCTCTCTATCAGCTGACCTCCCTGGGCTAGTTGCTCCCGGAAGCTCTGGCCCAGGTAGTAGTCAATGTCGGTGCTCCTTAGGAGGTCCTCAAAGGATTTTACAGTGTCTTTTGCATGTTGGGTGAGAAGGTAACATATCCCTCGCCCTTCTCGTATTTTTTGACGCAGATATGACAGTTCTCGGGCTTGATCCTGAATCAAGGAATCATATTTTCTAGTTCAGGAAAGAGAAGAGAGAAGAAGAATGAAAAACTGTGAATGTTAAGTTCTGAGGGCTCCTTAGAGTCCTCTGTGAGAACATACCTAAGGAACTCCCGCTCAGAATCGTACTATCCATGGAAGGTTTTTAAAGGTAAATTTCATGCTGAGAAGCTACTGCACCCAAACCCTTAGAGGATGCCATTGCTCGTAGCTCCTCTAGAATGTTAGCCTTATGCTTAAAACTAAACCACAAATCCCATGGGAGTAAAGAAACCCCCACATTTTATATCTCACGAAGCTCCATCATGGTGTGGACACACAGTAGCTACTCTAGAAATATTTAGAATTTCTTAAATCCTAGTCCTCTCTAGAACTTTCTCTATCTTCTGGTTCAAATCTCATCAGATGCATGAATTTCTTCTCTGCTCTGATACTGTGGCAGATGGCATTTTGCAAAGAAATAATTACAGTCTCATGCTATATGCTCTCATGGAACATGGCTCTGCCAGTCCTCTACCAGCAAGAAAGGTTATTCTCTACATAGGAAGGTCTGGAAGGTTCTGTCCCATGTTAACCTAGATAACGCAATGGAGGCTTCACCATGCCAAGTTGAGTAGATCTTCACCTGCCTGGTAAGAATCTACTTCCTGTCCTAGATACTAGCTTTCACACAGAAGCAATACCACCAAAGACTACCATATCACGAGAAACCAAAGTCAGAGGAGAAATCCTGGAGGTCAAAAAGAGAAGCCAGAAGCCTTGTCATGGATAAAGAATCCATGTTCACTTCAGAAAGGCATTCAGAGCACTCTGGCCTCAGTGTCAATCTCATGGCAGCCGCTTGGGAGACTCAGGAGAATCAAGTCAGCCCAGAGAATCATGAGAGACAGTAAAGCTGCTGTCTTGGAATTGTTAGTCAGGACAGAGGCTGAGCTGTATGTCTGATTAGTATTTTTCAGCATAAAGTAAATTGTGATAACTGAAGCTTATGCTATGGCAGACACTACTGTAAGTCCATGCAATAGTTCAATTAAGCCCAGTGACCATCCTGGAGTTGGGTTCCCTTTTTTCTCCACTTCATAGGTAAGTCAATAGACTGGGAAATGTTGCAAGCGTTGCACAGCTCCTAAGCTGCAGAAGTAGGATTTCAAGTCCGGCGTCTGGGACTAGTTTCACCACTACCCTATACCGCTTGCTTATACCACTGTCCTGTTTTTAACATCTATAACAGGACAGTCCAGAGATCTGTCACCACCATCTGATGTGGTCCATAAGTCCTCTTCTGATTACCTGGATGCATGCCCCCTTACAACTGCCAGGGCTACCCTTTTTGGGGTACAGACTTAGACACCACTCAAGTCGAAGGCCTGAACAGTTCCCCCTTACCCAGGCCACGAGGCAGACCTCAGCTCCTCCGCCAGCTTCCCCTCTAGTCCCGTTTTGGGGAGCTGGGCCTCCAGCTGGGATACTCTCTGGATGAGATTCTCTAGATCCTTTTTGGCCTGGAGCCCTGGAGGGTAAAAAGCCCCGGTGCCATCCGACAGCCACTCCTCATCTTCATCAGTGACGCTGTGGGGGGAAGCTCCCTCAAGGGTTGCCACAGCTCTCAGCTTGCGGGGTCTCTCTAGACTCGATGAGTAATCGCTTGTGGCAGACAGGGACCGGACCCTGCTCCTCAGGTTCTGAATGACCTTGTTGGCATTCTGTAGCTGGGCTTTCAGATCTCGGATGTCCTTCCTCAGGAGAGAACTGTTGTCTGGAGTTCCTTGGGCCTGGAACTCCTCTTGCTCCCCCAGCTTGTTCTTCAAGGGCTTCTTCACAGGTGGGCTGACCAAGACAGGGTCCGGGTACCCCTGCTCAGAGCACAGCCCCTCCAGGAGCATGGGCCTCAGGTTATTGTGCTCCTCACACTCTGAAAGAGACAGAAACATCTTGACGAGAAGCTGGACCTGCTGCTGTGGACACTCTGTTGAAGGGTGCGGGCTGGTCACAGGAATAAGTACTGGGTGTAAGGAGCAGGCCTTTAAACAGGACCGACTCCATTTTATAATAGGAAACTTGTAAGACATGTCTGGATATGTCTGGTACTTGTAAAGACATGTCTGGAAATGGTCAGAGTCCGGCGATAACCAGACACGAGTGGTTATCTGCTGTGCACGTCACCAGTAATGCTAAATTCACCATAAAAGAGGAGCCTGTCCGGAGCACTTCATCACACTTGTAGCCATGACTGGCTAACGTGATCCTCCCAACAAAGCCTCCTCAGCACTCGGTCATCAAAGAGTCAACTGAGAGACCTACACTTCCAACTTCGTGGTCGAGAGACAACCAATGCCCCTAGCTTCAAGCACCCCAGAGAGATCAAATTAGCAATTCAACTATCTGGAAGCTGCAGCCTGATCCCGCCTTCATGGACTCGTAACCCGACACCATCAAAAGGACTCAGCTCCTACAATCCATGAATGAATGATGTGCTTATTGCTATGCTTATTTCTTTGATAATTAACAACTTATTATGTGTGTTAATTGTGCATATTGTTAGAGGCAATGCATAGGAAATGTGGCAGTATCTTGTTGTAGCAATAGCCTTAGCATTTGTGTTTGTGTTTGCTTGCTGTGCATTATCACTAAAGAAATAACTCAATTCCACAAACTCTCTGTCTCTTTGATCTCATAGTCAAATCCAGTATAGTATCCCTGAATGGAGCAGGACCTGTCACTCCTCTCCCCACCTCTTGCTCGTAATAGATAAGAGTCCCTGCTCTTGACACTGGGGTAAAACCCGGAGCAGTGCTTTCTTTAAGTCTGGCTGTAGAGACACATTCACGTTCAGCATTTCTTGCTGAACAGCCCTGTGAGCAAGGTCTAGTCATTTTTTAATCTTGTTGGCTAGAGAACCTAAAATTCAGTGGCAGGGCAGTGAGTGGGTAAGCTAGCTAGTCACAGACTGTGTACACTGAAGACCCGGGATTCAAACCTTCCAGTGTCCTGTGTCCCTAACACACGTCAGTCAGTGTCTCTTAAGTGAGACTTTAACAAAGCCTCATGTATGTAAAATGACCACAAGGACTAAAGAACAAATTGCTTTTGTGGTTTTTCCCCACAATGCTATGATTTAAAACTACTGAGTCGAGACAGTGTGGAAAACAGGCCTAGGAAAATATGACCATCAAAACAAGTTAGGCTATTTATTGCCACAAGCTGGGCTAGGGTGGTGGCAGCCAGGATGATAGGAATAGTCAATGGTTTACTAGTAAAATGTTGGTCAAAGTGTTTTACTAGAGTTCATTCATTGACATGAGGACCCAGTGAGCTAAACAGCTGCTTTATTGCTGTTTGAGCAGATGAGGAATCTGAGGCACAGAGAAGTTCATCGAAGAGGATTTGTGTCAAGCAGGCTGGTCTCCAAATCCTTGTCCTAACTGTGCAACTATACTGCCTCAGCTTCAGTTCTGTAGGAACCCTGTAGTTCCTAACATCCCTTTGTGAATACAAAATTAAAAAAAAATATTCTAAACTTACAGCTTAGATATACATTAAAGCTTACAGATCTCTAATAAATAGGCCTAGGTATTTCATTTCTATAATATTGGTTGGGTTGATATTTTTTATTTTTATTTTTTTAACTAGCAGTGTGTCAGAAACCATAGAAGCTCAAACTGATGGCCTCATTTTGAAGAGTTCTCCAAAGTTCCTGTCCTTCTGTGGTCCTGGGTCTCCTTCAGCCCCAATTTCCCTGACCCTGCTGGTCATCACAGGTGGGAGTGGTGTGTCTCCGGGGAGAGAAGGCGGCCCCGCCCACACTGCGCACTCACCGGGGCTGGTGGTCTCCTCACGGTCAGCCTCATTCTCGCTTCGACCGCAAGTCTCGTAGCCCAGGTCTTGGAGGTCCACCTGGATCTGCTTGCTGTCCTGTTTCACCAGGGATTCACCTGTATTCAGAAAGAGACAGTGGGTGCTAGAAGGTATCTGGACAGCCTTCCCTCAGCCTCAGTGGTACATTCCCCAGCCAACAAGACAGAGGCAGACTTCGAGAGATGCCTTCTGGACCCCAGTGAGAGAAGATAAAGCCTGCCATAGCTAGTTGGCACTCTTCCCACCCATGGTGAACCTGTGCTTGCCCACAGAGATTCTCTCTTCTGAAAACCGAAGCTTAGATGAGAATAGGTGTGGGCAAGTCAAGAACTGCATGCTGCCATATCAGGAAGCCCCCGTGACACCATTAGGCTCCTTATCCACAAGGTCTTTAGTTTCAAAGGAGCTAAAGCTATTAATAGTCCCAAGACATCTGGCCCTGCCCTGTCCGTTAAGGTAGCATTATATCGAAGGAACCAAAATTAGACTTTCTAAGTTCACGTGCCCAGTATCTCTGTGAACAAAGAGAGCCCCCTCAGTACAGCAGTTTCCCTCGGACAGTGCTGAGTCCAGAGCAACAGACTCAGGATTTTGAAGAACCTGTTATGATACAAAGGAGAAAAGAAACCATCACACAGAACTCCAAGTCAGTTACTGACAGCCCGGAGATCAGCAAGCCCAGATGTCAGTCTGTCTTGTTCCTATATTTTCCCCGTGGCTTCAAAGATGAGTTTATTTTTATTTTATGTGTAATGAGCACTTTGCCTACATGTATCTATGTGCACCATGACCATGCCTGGTACCCTCAGAGGCCAGAAGAGAATGTTGAATGTCCTGAACTGTAGTTACAGAGGGTTGTGTGACACCTTGGGGGGTGCTGGAAACTAAACTGGAATCCTCCGAAGAATAACCAGTGCTCTTAAGTCCTGAGCCGTCTCTAGCCCCTTCACTGTCATGTTAAAACCCTGTTTTCTTCCTTTATCCTTTATATCCATCCATCTACAGATTGGAGAAAAATATTCACCACCACAAATCTAAGACTGTGTATCATGGCTGAAGTGTTCACAGGTTGGAGTTGAAAGAATGTGAGAAATAGGTGACTTCAGGATAGAGGACACGGGAGGTGACAATGAGCTGGTGACACTCACTCAATACGGCCCTATACTTCTCCAGCTGGTTTGCCTGGGCAAATACGGTGGCTTCTGAGATGAGCAACTTCTCCTGGAGATCTTGGTACCGTTGTCTGCACTGAGCCAGCTGGGAGCGCAGGTGTTTGGTGGAGCCCGGGAGGCTAAATTCTAGCTGAGGTCCAGAGTCTGAGGCCTGGGACTTGTTCTCCAGCTGCAGAAAGACCCAACCAAGGATCAGGACAGTCTGAGGTTACCCTCTCTGTGGTAACAGTATCCCTCTGCCTGAGTGCTGTGGACTGATGCATCCACGTTTACCACAGCCGTTCTCCTGCCATCAGGCAGTTCTCAGGGCCAGTTGAGTCCAAAGCAGCTTGTAATAAACATTTACTCAATTTCTTGAAAGAAAGAGTCGGAAGTTTCCACTCCGCCCTCTCTACATTTCCATCCCAAGGGCCTTCTCAGAAGCCTCTGAATTCTCCATTTCACTGACTGTAAGGCAAAGTTCCTTCCCTCAGAAGGATACCAGCGATCTCGCTCGAGGCCATGACACATGCCACTCTGGAACCGTAGAGGACACAGTGGTAAGAAGATAGCATTGAACACGAACATCTAGGCTCCATCAAGAACCAGAGTATCCCAACAGCAGTAACTACATCTAATGAAAAGCCACCATGGCTAGGCGGTGGTGGCACATACCTTTAATTGCAACACTCAGAAGGCAGAGGCAGGTGGATCTCTGAGTTTCAGACCACCCTGGTCTACAGAGCAAGACACCCAGGGTTACACAGAGAAAAAAAAAAAGAGAGAGAGAGAAAAAGAAAGAAAAGAAAAGCATTGTCCTTGCACACTGAGTGCCTGGAGGGCAACATCCGTTTATAACTGCCATCGCAGTCTGTAGCCTGGAGTTAAATGCTCAGACACACTCATGAGACAGTGTGGAACCCTGTCTGATGCTGAATGGGTGCCTCTGATTACAGAACCCTGCTAGAGGCGGCAAGGTGCCTTCTCCCTTGATACTCCCTGACACAGAACAGAACAGTTTAAGCTGAACCACACACCCCCTGCCCCCCCTGTCCTCCTCACCTCACCCCTGCCCATACTTACTTGGTAGCCATCCACTGAGACGGCTGCCCCAAGCGTGAGGCTCTGAGGTCTAGGGCTAGGCCTTGCGGTTGGATTCTCCTGCTCTTGGTGCTGATGCTTCCCCGAGGAGGGCAGGCCTGTGTTCATTCTGTCCACCTCCCTGGCCAGGCGCACGAGGAGCTCTGGCATCTCTTTAGTGTTCCCTTCTGAGCTGCTCAGGACCAGCTGTTCTTTGAGGAGGTTGATGATGTTGTAGGCACTCTTGAGTTTCCCCTGGACTTTCCTAAACTCGGCCTGAAGGCTGTTGTCATTCAGACCCCCTTTGGTGACCACAGTCTCCACCATCACCTTGCCCTTCTCCTTGTCTTCCTCGACCTCCCATCCATCAGACATTGCTTCTCCCATCTGCTCTTTCAGCTCTGCATTCTCAAGGCAAAGGCTCAGCATGGTGTTCCTGGGAGAGACACACGAGGAGGGGCCAGGTTTGTCAGGGTCTGCAGCTCTTCAAGGACCTTTCCACCCACATCTTAGTGCATGAAACACCCAGAGCCTTTCAAGTACATAACTGAACTTCAGAGACCTGTAACAAGCCCTCATACATACACGAGAAGACCTAGTGAGGAGAGGTGGGAAAATGGCCTTACCACATGCTTCCATAGCCATTTGATGGCAGCATTACTAAAAGATTATAAAATAGACTTCTAGTCTATTTATCTTTACTTAGCTATATAGTCTCACATGCTTAGTGACCTCTGGAATACACAAGCAAACTTACAATATTAAGGTTTTTGTTTTTAAAGAAAATAGATCCTATGACAAATTAGTATTGTGGATTTCATCATTGCCTTAATTATCACTGGTTTTAAATCACTTAGTGATAGAGAATACAAAAATTAATACTAATCAGACTGAAATAAAATGTAGTTATTTAATTATTTGCTATATTTCTAGTACATGCAGTAGGAGATGACCTTCCAGAGGGCACATGATGCATTGTTCCTATTCATCCTGTTCTTCTGGGACCACCACATGTGCCTGCCACATAAGACATCTGTATTAGCTGAGGTAATAAAACTGACTAACTGAGAGTGCTGAGCTAGAATATGTGCATGTGTGCATGCATGTGCACGTGTGCGTGCACATACACACACACGCAGAGAGAGAGAGAGAGAGAGAGAGAGAGAGAGAGAGAGAGAGAGAGA